CTCATGATACTTATTCACTACCACAGGAACAGTAAGGAGGAAACTAGCCTCCTTACTGATTCGATTATCTCCCACTGGGTCCCTCCCACAACACATGGGAATTATGGGAGCTACAATTCAAGATGAGATTCGGATGAGGACACAGCTAAACCGTGTCACCCAGATATCCAGATAAGCAGATACTGGCGGGGAGGCATGTGCTGCAAAGCCAGGCAGACTCAAATGCAGGTTTTGCCGTCTGCTAGCTGAGTGATTTTAAACAAGTCGCTCAACTTTTCTGACCCTCAGATTTTCACTTGCAAAATGTAGTGAATAATAACTCTCCTGGAGCAGCTTTGAGGATTAAAGAAAACCAAATATGTAGCATGACTAAACAGAAATGATTTTAGTATGAATGAGAAAGTGATGCTGTCTTTAGGGTTGACAAAATTGATGTGTTTAAAATGTTGTTCAAGCTCTGATGATCATTTTTCATAAACTGAATCAGTGTATCCTGTTATTTCAGGAATTCCAAAATGGTCAGTGGCCTTAAATTTTCAGTGCAAGGTAGTGTACCCCTGCACATTTTATTCTAGTTTAAAAGCTTTCACTAGGAATAGGATAGAAATTGATTTACTGTGGGGCTGGGTGAAGTGGTTCACATTTGTAATCCCAGCACTTTGAGAGGCCAAGGCAGGAGGATCATTTGAGCCCAGAGGTTTGAAACCAGCCCTGACAACACAGTGAAACTCTGTCTCTACAATTTTTAAAAAATAAAATTAGTCAGGTATGATAGTGTGCACCTGTATTCCCAGCTACACAGAAGGCTGAAGTAGGAGGATTGCTTGAGCCTGAGAGGTTGAGGCTGCAGTGAGCCATGATCATGCCACAGCACTCCAGACTGGGCAACAGAGTGAGACCCTGTCTCTAAAAAACAGACAATAAAATAAAATAAAATAAGTTGAATCACCATGGCTCAAGGTCACTATATTTACGTATTTAGATACCTAATCCGACATCACATGCTCAGAGATGCCCTCCCTAATCCCTGTTACTCTGTGACTCCTCACAGTTTTCCATTCTTCCTCAGAGTACTTGGCACTTCCTGATGAAGCTGTATACTTGCTTGTTTATTGTCTGTTTTCTCAAAGTATAAGTAAGATGAAGTCAGGGACAATCTGTCATATTCATGGCCATATACCTAGCACTTAGAACATTTCCTGACACATCATAAACACACAAAATATCTACTGAATAAATAAATTAATATGGCTTGGACTTTTTAAAGCTCAAACGGGCATGGTAACATTCACTACTGTTAAGGAAAGATTTATCTATTGAAGAAAATAAATGTTGAGAACATAAAGTCACTCATCAGATACTGCGAATATTTGAAACCATTTTTCTACAGAAGTGTTAGAAAACACTGGCTTGAGGCTGGGTGTGGTGGCTTACACCTAAATCCCAGCACTTTGGGAGGCCAAAGTGGGTGGATCACCTGAGGTCAGGAGTTCGAGACCAACCTGGGCAATATGGTGAGACCCTGTCTCTACTAGAAATATAAAAATCAGTCTGGTGTGGTGGTGGGCACATAATCCCAGCTATTTAGAAGTGTGAGGTAGGAGAATTGCTTGAACCTGGGAGGCAGAGGCTGCAGTGAGCAGAGATCATGACATTGCACTCCAGCCTGGGTGACAGAGCAAGATTCCGTCTCAAAAAAAAAAAAAAAAAAAAAAAAAGAAAAAAAAAAAAAAAAAAAAAGAAAAAAAAAAGAAAAAGGAAGAAAGAAAAAAAAAACACTGGCTTGGGTTGAGCTAATACAGAGAATCTAAGACAACACTGAGAGATGCTGTCACATTACTGTAGAGAGTCTGTCACAAGCCAAGAAGTTTCCATGAGAGGTGAGAGGACACACATCTATTTCTGTGACATAATTGCTGAATAGTCAGTAATTATTTGCTGAATTTTGGAATATACAAACAGAGTATAATGGAAACAAATACATCTTCCTGGTCTAACTGTTTAACCAACAGGCCAGCTGGATAATGTACAGTATCTGGGCTAAGTTGTCAGTTTATTTAGGAAGATAAAACCCTTCTTGGGAACAATATAAATAAATAGACACAACTAAAGAACACAAAATTGAATTAGAGGCAGTAGTACCATTGACACCTTGACTTTGTGATAAGAATGGGCACTTAATTAGATATGAGCAGAGCCCAGAACCATATGAAGTGAAAGATCTAAGAACAATGCCAACCCTAAAACAACCTCTCCAATTAAAACACATTACAGATATACAATAATTAAAGCAGTAAGCTATTGGAGCCAAAATAAGCTGATTTGCTGTTGGGACAGTTTCAGTAAGAATTTAGTCCAAAACAAAAAGGCATTTCAAATTCACTCGCTAGCGAGTAAGTTCCAGAGAGCAGGGCTCATGTCAACTTTGTTCAACATTGTTTTCCAGAATTTAGTGCCTATATCATAGTAACCACTCAGTAATTAAGTGCAGAAGTAATTACATAATTCGTGATGTGGAAAAATGAAAAAATAAATGAAAGCTTAAAAATGAGAATACAATAGATAGGCATAGTGCAGTGCCATATATATTCTATAGTTACTATGTATACACAGGTATATAACAGGCACACAGATTCCCACAAAACACATATACACCCAACTGTGCTGAGTTGGTACCCAGGGATGGTACTTTTATCTGTGATTTTCTTGTTCTATTTGTACATTCATGTGTCCTAACTTACATGGAATGAATGAATGTCAGTTACATAAAAAGTGTAAGAAACAGGCTGGGTGTGGTGGCTCACATCGGTAATCCTAGCACTTTGGAAGGGAGAGTTGGCTGCAAATTGCCTGAGGTCAGGAGTTTGAGACCAGCCTGGCCAGTATGGTGAAATCCTGTCTCTACTAAAAATACAACAGTTAGCCAGGTGCCATAGCTTGTGCCTGTAATCCCAGCTGCTCAGGAGGATGAGGCAAGAGAATCACTTGAATCAGGGAGGCAGAGGTTGCAGTGAGCCAAGACTGTGCCACTGCACTCCAGCCTGGGTGACAAAGTGAGACCCTGTCTCAAATATGTTGCTACATGTAATAATACAAGAAAAAATATTTTACCAAGTAATTTGCCTCTAAGCAAGAAAGGGAGTGAAGAAATGTCTTTAGAGAACATTTCATAGGAGGCTCCACTGTGGTATGAATCACATAATCAGAAGGTCCCCTGATATAAATTATCCAGCTATTACTGGGCACTTGGGTGAACACTAGTTTTGAGCCAATTATTCCGCAATCAAGGCATTTTTAGATGCACAGAGCTGAGAGCAGTGTGTTAATCAGTCCCATACAACCTGAAGAGGGTGAGAATCTAACAAGAGTGTGAGGTTCAATGAAGTCTATCCACAAAACCAAAGAACAGTTGTCCCCCGGGAAAATAGAAATGGAAAATGAGGCTAAAAAAATTAAGATGTAAAAAACTGTTCTAATGATTTTTTATCTTCTGTTTGGGGAAAGCAGAAAGAACATGGCAGTGGAAGGAACAGTTCCAAAAGATGATAAGGCCTCCAGTGGGAAGTTAGGGCATCTCCACAGTCCATAGGATTGGACAACATTTACATTGGCAGGTGACAATGAGCAGAAAAATCAAAATACTGAGGGACAGAGTAGAACAGATTACCAGCTCCAGGCAGTGGGTGATGAGCCATTTGACAGAGACAGAAGCAGAGACACAGCAAGAAACGGAGCTGAAGCGGAGTTGCTGTGGGGTCTTCCGAGGAGCCCCAGCCTTGGCAGCGGCTTCACTGCACTTCCTGCAAGGCAGGGGCATTGCCAGCTGGGGACGGCAGCTGAGGGCCAGCAAGGGGGTTGATATGGTTTTGGTCTGTGCCCCCACCCAAATTGCACTTTGAATTGTAATCATCTTCACGTGTCAAGGGCAGGGCCAGGTGGAGATAGTTGAATCACGGCAGCAGTTTCCCCCATACTGTTCTCATGATAGTGAGTGAGTTCTCACGAGATCTGATGGTTTTATAATCTTCTGGCATTTCCCCTGCTGATACTTCTTTTGCCTGTTGCCAACGTAAGCCACGGTTTCCACCTTCCGTCATGCCATGATTGTGAAGCCTCTCCAGCGTGTGAACTGTGAGTCCACAAACCTCTTTTGCTTTATAAATTACCAGTCTCGGGTTTGTCTTTATGAGCAGCATGAGAACAGACTAATACAGGGGTCCTGAGGAAAGGGGGTCTGAGTGGGAGGGAGGAAAAGCATGTCTTACCCTAGGACATTAGAATGTATTGTGCTCAGTTTGAAAACACTGAAAAGCAAGGCCATTACAACAGGCTTCTAGAAGTGGGTAAGCCTGGAGGCAAAGGCTGCCTGGATATGAATGAAGAAAAGAGAAAAGAGGACATCTCAAACCAGGAAAGGATCGTGTGTGGGAACAAAGGCAGGACACAGGAAGCCTGGCCATCTGGCTCGAGTGGAATTTCCACACGAGTGGACTTGAGTGAGCTTCTGATTCAAGTCCATATCAAGAGAGGTTATCATCTGTCTCTCCATTACAGCAAGTATTCTGGAAAATTTAAGTGAACTTTTCATAGTCATTTAATTACATTAATAATATTTAACATTAATAATGCTAGTAATTTAATAACATTATAAAATCTTTTAAACGCTTCATAGTTTAGCAATCATTAAATTGTCACTCTTTTTTTTCCATAGCGCTAATTTCTTACGTATAGGAGATGCACATACACACCCTCACAAAACGACACTTGGATACACACAGACACACACACATATACTTAGACATAGACAGACACAGCATACACAGTCACGCAGACACACTGGCATGCCTGCTCCCAAACAGACATACTCAGAGTTATACAAGCATACAGTTGCACACTTTCATACACAGGCTCTCCGATACTGACACCCTCATGCACACAGATACATATACACACACCACTCACACCTTCATAACAAAATGTAAGACAGATTCCCTCCTTACCTGGGCTTCAAGTATGTTAACTTTTTCTTTGAGATTTTCAATTCTTTTGTCTTGTTCTTTTAAATTATTTTTTAATCCTTCCATCTGAGAATTAGAAAACACAATAGAAAAAAATCTTGTCAGACCACAGGAAATAGGTACTTAAGTCAGAAATTGTATGGATTTCTGAAGTCAGAAGATATTCATCAAATTAAAAAAATAAATAAATCCCAAAGCATTAGCAGACTCAGCAGGCAACAGAAAATACCAGGCCAAATTGACACCTGGGGCTGAAAGCCCTCAGCTGGTGCTGTTATTCACTTTAATCTTTGGATAACCTGTTTAAACCAAGTTCAGCAGGAGTGCCTCCTGTGAAAGTAGCCCTGCCCGCCCTTTCTGCGTCTCAGCAACTTAATGTTCTCATCCTGCAGATGCAGCTGCTGGTGGACAGAATGAAGGCTGCTGCCTGGTGTGCAGACGCTCCCTGAGGTAGAGACTTGTCAATCAGCGACACGATAAGGTGAGCCTGCTTTGCCAAGAGGCAATGTGAAATTGGGAGGTGGGGTGATGAGATTCAAAACGGTGCAAGAAGAGAAGGGACATGGATTCTAAGACAACTTTGCCACCACTAATTGTCATTAAACTGCTCTGTAAAAAGAGGATGTGGAGTGGCCCCCAAAGTCCCTCCTGGCTCTCAAATTACACTACTCAATTCTCTGGCCTTTTAGTGAGGTCATAGCTAAGCAAGCACAAAAGCTATATTTATGTCAGGAAGGCTCTGGAGTTATTTGGGAGGACTTCTATTTGGCAGTATAATAATTGGATAGAAGTCTGATTTTAAATTTTGAAACAGATACCCAAAAGCAGATGAATGCATATATATATATATATATATATATATATATATATACACACACACACACACACACACACTTTAAGTTCTGGGGTACATGTGCAGATCTTGCAGGATTGTTACATGCCTTGGTGGTTTGCTGCCTCCATCCCCCTGTCACCTAAATTAGGTATTTCTCCTAATGTCATCCCTCCCCAATCTTCCCACCCCCTGCTATCCCTCCCTTAGCCCACCAGTCCCCAACAGACCCCAGTGTGTGATGCTCCCCTCCCTGTGTCCCTGTGTTCTCATTGTTCACCACCTGCCTATGAGTGAGAACAGGCGGTGTTTGGTTTTCTGTTCTTGTGTTTGCTGAGAATGATGGTTTCCAGATTCATCCATGTCCCTGCCAAGGGCATGAACTCATCATTTTTTATGGCTGCATAGTATTCCATGGTATATATGTGCCACATTTTCTTTAGCCAGTCTATCCTTGATGGGCATTTTCATTGGTTTCAAGTCTTTGCTTATTGTAAACAGTGCCACAATGAACATAACAGGTGCATGTGTCTTTATAATAGAATGATTTATAATCCTTTGAGTATATACCCAATAATGGGATTGCTGGGTCAAATAGTATTTCTATTTCTAGATCCTTGAAGAATTGCCACACTGTTTTCCACAATGGTTGCACTAATTTACACTCCCGCCAACAGTGTAAAAGCATTCCTATTTCTCCACATCCTCTCCAGCATACCTTGAAGTAGACTTTAAATACACACTTCATCATCTAGCTGGCTGCTACCACAATCCCACCTGCTTTGCCACCTGTCAGGCTGCTCTCAGAGAAGAAGGGCCAGGCTACACACCTAACCTAAAACACCACCTAAATAAATCATGAGGTTATGAAAACAGATCATTTTATGCTCAAGGAAGGGCTGAATCTCCTGATCTATAAATTTGTCTAAAGACCAGTATACATTATTTGGCTCAAAAGACTTAGAAAATCACTGAAACATTAAAAAAAAACCCAGATATACGTGATTTTACAAGCTATCTTCATTGAGAACATTACAGGTGTTGGTGTTACAAACAAGAGAGGGCATTGAAAACAGAGCCATACTGCATGAGAAAAAGAAAGGATGTGTCAGTAGGAAAAGAAATCTCATTGCTTCTAGAGTCCAGGCAAGCCACTTGTATTTGGGCTCCACGCTGTAAACATACCATCTGCCAGAGAAATACGCTAGATTAATCTGACCTCCTCGATGACACTGCGCAGGTTCTGATGCTGGGAGTGAATCACAAACTGCAGATGAGAGATCTGCTCCTGAAGAATGGAAATCTCCATCTGAAGGTCCTGGCATCTGGGAATGCGAAGGAAAAAAGAGTTAGAGAAAATGATTGGCTTACATGTTCCATAGCTCGCCCTTATTGCTAGGCCTCCTACACATTTCCCTGCTACTGGGGATCTGGTAGGTAAGACCCCAGAACCCCATTATGCCACACAGGACACTGACGATAAATAGCTATGAAGCAGGCTCTGATTTGCTTGGCAATAAACTTGAATGAGAATATCGATTCATGTCAAAAGCTACTCTCTGGCCATCTGTGACTCCTCCAGCAGGTAGTGGGATCAAGTTACATTCCACAGGATAAAGCACTTATAAGCTAAATTGCCTTGCCTGAGCACCCACAGACCTGGCACCCATCAAACTTCACAATTACATGGCAATAGCAGAGTCAGGACATAGGAGCAGAAATGGAGATTTTATATACGAATGTATTTTTCAGAAACCAATTTCTGATGATTCAGGCTTAGTATACGTTGTGGTTTCTCTGTCTTTGTTTTATTTTTTATTTTTTGGCTTCCTACTTTTGGTAATTCTATGAATCAGTAGGGTAAGGGAAAAAAGAGAGGAAAGGAAGAAATTAAATTTTAGCAAATATTTTTGAGTCCACATCAGCCATTATGAAAAAAAAAGAATAAGTCAATTTTGAATTTAGATTATTTATACTTTCCCAAAGCTCCATCCAGCTAACTGGAATTGATTGTGCTCTTTTGGCTGTTTCCCTTCTTGCCAATGTTATTAGAGTTATGAAGCCACATGCATTGTGGCAACTGTGTGCTACTGTGTTTTAGATGATAATGAGAAACATGTGATTATCATACCTACACAACGAAATCTCACTGTAAAATTCCATTTCCCTCCTCTTGATTAACACTATAAGCAATTATCAAATTAAGGAAAGCTATGAAAGAAATGTAGACTGTCAACACAGGCTGAAGGAAGATCACTAGTTCAACTGTGCCTATATTTTATCTACTGTTTATAACACAGTCATTTAAAGGACCCTCGTAGCTGGCAGAAAGCCTTACCCTGGTCTTTCTCTCTTGGAGAGGGGCAACGGGAAATCCGAACCAACTAAATGAGCAAGGAGTCCCTTGTTTTTCTTTCCATTGTCCACGGTAGGAAGTGTTTGAAAAGAGATAAGCTGAATGCCTGATTCAGATAAAAATGCTTTGTGCACATGTAATTTGAACTGACAATGGCAGCAATACTCAGCCCTCACAGCATTTCCAATTCAAGTTCAGAAAATGGCTGTATCAGTACCAGCCTGTATTCACATTAGATTTCAATTGTCCCTAGACTTGAGGTTCAGAGGCTTCTTGAGGCACAAGAGACTGAGGAAATTTTACGACCCCCAGCAGGTGAGGCTCCACACCCTAAGGATGCTGCAGGGAGATGAAAGAGCCTCCCAAGGAGATACCAGACTTTGGATGTCTGCAAACACTCCAAAAAGAAAGTAAGAAGGCTTACTGCCTACGGAGACTCTTCAGGGGCAGGACGTCTTCAGAAGTCCAGGAAGACTGGGTGTGTGCGAGGGGCAGGGCTGAGAAATCTGCAGATGTCGCTCAGAACCCTTGGAGGGTAGAATTGCTGCGAACATGCAGAGGGTGGGGTAACTGAGGAGCCTCAGAAGGAAACTTCAGTTACTAGGAAAAGATGACTTGAGAATATAAAGATCAAAACAGCCCAGGAGTAGTGTTTCACACCTGTAATTCAAGTACTTTGGGAGGCCAGGGTGGGAGGATCACTTGAGGCCAGGAGTTCAAGACCAGCCTGGCCAACATGGTGAAACCCCATCTCTATTAAAAATAAAAAAATTAGGCCGGGTGCAGTGGCTCATGCCTGTAATCCCAGCACTATGGGAGGCCGAGGTGGGTGGATCACTTGGGGTCATGAGTTCGAGACCAGCCTGGCCAACATGGTGAGACCCTGTCTCTACTAAAAATACAAAAATTAGCTGGGCTTGGTGGCATGTTCCTGTAATCCCAGGTACTCAGGAGGCTGAGGTACAAGAATCGCTTGAACTCAGGAGGTAAAGGTTGCAGTGAGGTGAGATTGCACCACTGCAATCCAGCCTGGGCTGCAGAGCAAGACTCTGTCTCAAAAAAAGAAAAAGGAAAAAGATAAAGGTCAAAACACAGAGGGCAAACAGAAATTGAGTTCATAGCTGGTGCTGAAGTTCACAGTTGTTCCAGCAAGGAAAGTAAAAGAAGAAAAGAAAAAGAAGAAGAAAAAAACCCAAAAACCAGAAAGAGCAGCTATGACTCACTTAATGGTCAGACTCAGAACTTTCCTGGGAAGGAATGAGAAAGAGCTTAAGATGCCTTGCAGAGACAAGCAGGCTGGCTTTGAATATGCACAAAATATAAAAATGCTGTAAGCTGTTAAAGGTTCGTATTTAAAATGGTTCTCTTTGTGTCCCATAACCTGGAACCTTGGAACCGATGGAAAAAAAAGATGGCTTTAGGCAAGGGAGACAGAGGTGGTTATTTTTCTATCAAAAATACCAAGCTCAGAAAACTTTCCAATGTATTCCTTGAAGATATTGCCATAAAGTTCATTGTAAATAAAACAAAAAACAAAAAACAAAAAACTTGAGATTGGACTCAAGATGGAAGAAAAATATTTTTAGAAGCACTCTTGAAAACACAAGGCTTTGGGCTTCACTTATCTCCGCTAATACTCTAAAACAGTGACTAAAGGACATTGCACAAAATCTCTATTAGGATTGTTCAATAAATATGAAGCCTAGTAATCCATTTAAGACCTTTAAGTGTAAAAATATGTCTAAGTAAGCTGCCACTTGATCTTCTTTTGAGCTTTGTTACTTATCTTTCTGACTCTACTGCCTTAGCTTCCTGAGTAGCTGGGATTACAGGTGTCCACCACCATGCCCAGCTAATTTTTGTATTTTTAGTGGAGATGGGGTTTCACCATGTTGACCAGGCTGGTCTCAAACTCCTGATCTCGTGATCTGCCCACCTCAGCCTCCCAAAGTGCTGTGATTACAGGCGTGAACCACTGCACTCAACCCAGTCTTAATTAAGAGATACACGAGCAAAACTGGAGGAAGAAAACATAAGGAAGGGCCAAGCCTAAGAAAAGGAGGCAAATGTCTGTATCCAGGATTCACGCTCTGCTTTCCTATGTCTCAATATAATTTTTGACCATGTTTTCCTCTGCGATGTAACTGAATACAGACATAAAGCAAATGTTGGAATTAAAGCAGAATTGAAAAGGTCTGGCTTCTAAGCAATGCAGAAGACATTCTCTTTCCCATTATTCCCACTAAGGACAACTCAAAGCCCTGGATATTGTATATGAAAAAAACACAAGAACACTCAGTGGAAAGAAGCCAGACTGGCTCCGGAAACTGGGATCCAGGAAAGGATACGATGGTTAATCCTCTGGGTTTTCTTTTTATCTCACACATCCCAGACTTGGGGCCAGAAAAAAACCAGCAGCCTGGAATGCCAGTGGGGGCAACCAAAAAAGCCCCAACCAAAAGAGAAGAGACTCTCTGCCCTACCCTTCAGAGGAAGGGAATTGAAGGTTCTCTCTCAATTCATCACTGAAGGAGGGGGAAGAGACAACTATTTCTGGTTCTCTTCCTGTTAGATTCCTTAGCATTCAAGAAAGGAAGTCGATCCTATCTTTAACTGCAGAAATGTGAAAAGAAATGACTTTGGGTTTAATTAGCAACATGGGATGATCATAGAAGAAGCACTTGACAGGAATCCCACCCTCAATTTCTCTACTACCCAAGGTCTCCCAAAGGCTTGGTGGAAAGAAACTGAGTCTATGGAGAATTGTCTCTCCCTCCATTCCTCGGGATACTCAAGAATCTTTCTTTGGGTCAACTTACACCATAGAGGGTGGCATTATTGGACTTTTTCACAGCGACTTCTTTTCCTCCCTGTTACAATGGCTTTGGCTGGATTGTGTTGGCATCATGCTCTTCTCTTTTAGATGATGTTCTGAGTTACAGCCTTTGCGTTTATTACAAGGGGTCAGTTGAAGACATTATTCAGGGTTCTTTTTATGATCATACCCTGGGCAATTTTCTTTCTGGCCTTATAGATAGATTAGAAATAACTGAATGATCCCAAAGACCTGATTTGTTTTAATCATGTGGAATTGTGACTAACAAAACTAAATATTTCCTGTTTGGGTTGGCTGCTGGAAAATTTAAAACTGAGTCAGTGGTCTACTGTGAGCAAGTCTGTAGTATCCATGGGCCTAATTTTGTAAGTGAACCTTATGGTATACCTATTCTTACATTTCCTTGTCCTCGTCATCTAATTTTTTTCCAATTTAAGTAATCATGTTATATTTTATGTAGCTTTTATAAATAACTTTAAATTTTCTTGAAATTTTCACAAAGGGCATGAATAGCCTGAGCATGGTCATAATTACATAGCCCAAGAATATAACATGTTTAAGTCTTTATAAAAGTACATTTATTACCAGGGATTCATGCAGTAAAATGCTTATGAGAATGAAAATTCCAGAAGAAACCAAAAAAGCTAGATGCTTAGACAAAGGAAATAAATGTAGCAACTGAAGCCATGTTGCAGGCTCCAAGAGGCTACTTCTGAGCACACTACAGATAACTGAGACATTGGAAATATGAATAACCCTACATAGAACTCCCACAGGAAGAGAAGATAGTGAGATTAGTGGCATCCTAGAGCTTCTCTGAAGCTATAAAAGAATATTGCTACCATCTGTGGGGACTCATATTGCCTTCTATTCAGGATCAATTTTTTTTTTTTACTTCTATGAGTGTGAACATCACTGACTATGGGCTCCCAGTGGAATAAAGGGTAACTAGGGACCACAGCCACAAGAACAGAAGGGGTTAGATTCTTACCATTCCCAGACCAGACTAAGGGAAAGACTCAGCTGAGATGCAGGTATGGCCCTGTTCACATTTCAACAAAATTCATGAATGTCTCTTACTATTTTCCATAAAATTCTTCTTCATTATTATTTTCAGTGGTGGCATCAAAGGGGTGCCTTGAGATAACCCTCTCGCCCCAAACTGCCACAGATAAATGTACAGTTTAAGTAACAACCATATGCTTTGACATGCAACCTCAGCTTCGAGGTCTCTCCTCCTCTAAGGAGTTTCCATTCCTAAGCAGCATCTATGTGAATATGGAGGGGCCAACACTATTTATTTTTACAATCCCCTGTATTAGTCTGTTCTCATGCTGCTATAAAATCACACCTGAGAGTGGGTAATTTATAAAGGAAAGGGATTTAGTTGATTCACAGTTCTGCAGGGCTTTGTGAGGCCTCAGGAAACTTACAGTCATGTTGGAAGAGGAAGCAAACATGTCCTTCACATGGCAGGCCAAAACCGCACAGCAAGGAGAAGTGACAGGCAAAGGGGGAAAAGCCCCTAATAAAACCATCAGATCTTGTGAGAACTCAGGAGAACAGCAGCACTGGGCTAACAGCCCCTATGATTCAATTACCTCCCACCAGGTCCCTCCCATCACACGTAGGGATTATGGCAACTACAATCAAGATTCTCATCTTTTTGGGTGGGGACACAGCCAAACCATATCAATCCCAGTTGTGTTTCTCCAAAAGATTACTCTAAAAAAGGCCTGCATATTTGTTTGGATGTGGCAAGGCAGAAGGAGAAGTCAGAAAGCGGCCTTTGCTAATCATTATTCAGAGGAATTAAGAACCCAGTTTGAGAGATTTTCAGAGGTTTCAGAAATAAAAGAAAGATAATCAAAATCCTGTATAGCAGAATGAGCACACGCTTTGCTATTTTGAAAATACAGAAGCCAAAACTCCCAGTTTTACAACTTCTGAGAGATTGAGCATCTTGGACAACTCGATTCAAACTTTAGCTTTCTCCTTGAAAGGTGAATGAAAGGATTAAAGTAAAGAAGGTACCTGGGGTTATTCTGAAAACTGCAGAGCATTTGACCTGTGTCAGTAATGAGTAATAGTAATAGAAGTATGGAGTCAACCTTATTTTTAAGGAAACAAATCTTAACTTTTCTGTCTCTTTTTTATGACCCTATCTATCAATCTTAACCTAACAGAAACCCTCTTTTTTTGTGGTAGCTTAATCAAGTCTCTTTTGCTTCAACCAAAAGAGTCTGATCTCTACTGATTTCATTGTTCTGTCACTTCACAAAGTGAATGCTTCCACAAAAAGCTCTGAAAAAGTAATAAGTCATCACAGATATGTGTGATATCCACAATCTAAAAAAGAAAAAATTGCATAAGCCTGGATGTTGAAAAACCTTTCTAGAAACACCAAACATCCATTTTCCCCAAGAAATTTCTAAGACTTCCTTAGGCGCTTTTAAAGCATTCTTTATAACAACGGCTTATATAGAACAGAAGTGAAAGAATAGATCAAGTTGGTTTTTAAAACAGCTATGTTGTTGGCTCAGAGAATGAACAATAGCCCTATTACTGATTTTTTAAAAATACATTTTTAAAGGAAAAAAAATCAAATGTGGACAGCCTGAACTTTTAATGGAAGATACATTGTACGAATCAGTAGTTCTGCTACATAGAAAAACTCTACTTAAGAAAAAATCCTGTTTAAGAAAAAAATATTAACTGAAGACTTACTTAGAATTAAGTTATGAATATCCATATGTAATTCCAATATCTAAGGAGACTTTCTGCAGTATTTCCTTCATTCTCTACAAAAATGTGCAGTGTTATAAAACTATCTTAGAAGTCCCCTCTCTTAGGCTGTATGCTGGTTGCAGGGAAGAAGATAGGAAAATTAATAACTTACTGGTAGCCTAGTATGTGTCAAATATGTGTGCATAATTTTCAGGGTCAGCCCATTATATGTGGTCAAAAACGCAGGAATACAAGCCAGGCAGAAGGTCCAACATATGAGGACAGATGGGAAGAAAGATAATAAAAGAAAAGAAAGCAGCGGGGAGCCTGTAGGGGGGAAATCAAAAGACTTAGAAAGAGGAATGTCTGAGCATACACCATTGAATAAATGACAACAAGAATTCTGTCCGTAACAGTGCCTGATATCCTAGTGAACAATAGTTCTAGGTTGACAAACTAAGATCTTGAAATTGATTTGAGTTTTAGCACTATTATATCATTATATCGGAACACAGAATGACTGTGTTGGGCTTAGAATTTTAAAAAAACAAAAATCTCAGAAAATGTCTTATGATTTATTATATGATAATACAGAGACTTCCAATAGCAGCAGAGTAGCACAGCAATTACGGTGATATCCACAAACCTACCCCCAGCATACTAAGGACTGTGGCTGCTTTTAAATTATGAGTATTTATAAGTAAGTTTAAAGAACTAAGGATATTGTCCATAGCATTTCCTTCACCCTACCAAATTCAGGAGTATCAGGAAATTATCTTAGAATTCTACTTGTGGACTGGCCACTGTAATGCAGCTGTAGAAGAGACTCACTAACAAAGACAGAAGCATTGGAGAATAAAGACCTCTCAAGCATAAAGACCTACTTAGAGAATAAAGACTTACTTAGCGCAAAAAGTAAACCAGGAGGTGCCAGGCTTACTCACTCATTCACTCTTCAGGAGGACTAAGCTGCCCACAGGTTTCCCTGCACCCCCAGTGAACTCTGCCCTGCCCCACTCCCAACTACCCTGTGATTCCTCTGAGTCTGAGGAAGGGGAAGCACATAACTACATATCTGTTAATCCTAGGAATTCAACCTTCTTCCTGCACTGTAGTCATCCTGTTTCTTTGGGGGACGGAAGGACTTCTGTTCCCTGGCTGGCATACCAGTGGACAGGAGAGAAATCAGGAACTGCTTTTACTTAACAGGTAGCTTCGCAAACCTTTTTCCATGTGTAGCACTGGATTTGAGTTGCAGTAGCTTGTTTTCCAAAGACAGTTTTTTTTCTAGTAGTGTTCTCTTCTCCTAGGAGAAAATAAGATACAAATTTTGCTAAACAGGATGTGTATGTTTGGTAAGGCATTCCTCTGTTCATAGTAGAACCATGGTTTGAGCTAAAGAGCTGATTTCACATGTGCCGTTATTCCCCATCTGGCCAAGTACTCCGTGTGTTTTACGCGCAGTTCAACTGCAGGCCGAGAATAGTTGTCTTCAGTCTCTCACCTGCCTGGAGGACTTTTGCTCCTCCTCCAGGGCATGGCCCACAGCCTGTTCAGCTCAGCCTCTCCCATTCGCCTCTCCCCATCCTACCCCACATAAACAGCTTGCTCATCCCTCACTAGGCACTGGCTCTCCCACCCTTATACCGCTTCCCGACATTAGACTGAGTTGGTGGTATCTAAGGACAGTAGATACCCTACCCACTACTATGGCATCTGTCGGAGAGTAGTAAATAAACGTATGTTTGATGAAGGATCGAGGCCACAAAGGATACAACTGCTTTCCAATTAGGATACAGGAGAAACTGAGGTTGCAATTTTATGATACTGAGAAAGACTATCTTTTAAAAATGCCTTAATTTGGTTATTAAGCGAAACTCTTTCCATCCTAAAGGAAAACAAACAAGACCATAAAAATGAAGCTGAGATGACTGTGTTCATTTTATATTTGATGGCAATTGGCTGAAAACAGGAATTTGGGGCTTTGGCCTGATGATTGAGGTTGCCAAGTTGGAAAGAATCAAGGGGGAGTGAAAAGAGGGAGGAATTGGTATTGGCAACATGGATGGAATTGACTAGAAGAGATGTGCTGAAACTATCTACAGTGCTGTTTAAAATTACTTCCTGCTGCAACATCTGAATGAGTAGTACACAGCGAGGCAGTGCTGTATAGCAGGGACTTACTTGGTTTCTACATTTTGGCCAAGGTTTTAAACTCTCTGGGCCTTACCACTGTTAAGAAAAAATAACCCAAACTTGGAAATAAAAACAATATACAGCACGCAGTTTTAATGTCATATTGGATAATTGTTTAATCATCTGACCCAAGATTTAATTATCTCAGAGAATTTCCCTGTGTTTGTTTCTATTATTTATTATTTTATTAGAGCCCTGATTTTGTGAAGCTGAATGTAAATTTGTAGATTTCTGTCTGGTGGAAGAGATAATCAGATAATCCCAAAGATTATGGGTTAATTGCCTTAAAGAATATTAACTGTTTTTTAAATGTAATCTAGTAATCCTATTCTATTTTCGCTTTTTCTCCAAAATGGTTATAAATGGCTAGTTCCTCAAAATATTTTATTTAAACCAGCTTTCTCATCTTACAATTTCCTTCAATAATCAATGAGTTAGTTGCAACATTTGACAGGCATTCATTGTATATTTATTTGATTCATACTTTTATCTTCTGAGCATTCCTAAAATGGGGATAATATTACCCATATTGAAATGTTGGGAGGATGGAGATAATATATGTAAGAGGCATACAGGCTTCCTGGCACATATTTGGACCTCAGTATATAATAATTTGAAGGTACCAGTTACTTCATATCTTATGTGTTCTGTTATTTTTTTTTAATTATGCTCACTTTTTCAAATTTTTCTTATAGTATTCTTGCCACATAGAAATTGTCCTGGAGTTACCCTAGCTGTGTTCAAATTATTTCTGAGGGATCACAGATACATCTTGCAAGCATATGATGACGCTTGGATTATCAAAGAAACACACCACAGATAATGTATTTTGAATTTGTGGGGTGAGGGAAAATGGTTCCTAACAACATTAAATAGACTTACTCTTGATTAATGGATTTTCATAAACAGGAGTCAGGGAAACCAGACAGCCGGACACATAAATGCTCTACCTTGGCCAGGCTCTGGCATCTAGTCTGGGTTCTTTTTGCCTCCTCTTTGACAACACAGAAAATCACACCATACCAGATAGCATTTCTCAGGCAATGTCTTCAGGAAAGGGAAAGGGAGTTTGCAGCACCACGCAGTGGGCAACCCACTATTCCCAGAGCCATACCTCGAGACAGCTCCAGGATTCCCTCCCCAGACTGATCCGAGTGGGCACCAATTTAAATCATTGCCAAATGGTAACATCTGAATGATTTGGGAACTAAGTCTATCAGTTTTGTCCAGCATTAGAGAAGACAGGGGCATAATGGAAAGTGGTATGATCTAGGAAGTGGAAGATTGTGGAATCGTTTCTGGTTCATGCTGTCCTCATTTATAAAATTATGATGAGGAACTAGGTGGTCTCAAGAGTGCCTTTCAGCTCTAAAATTGCAATACAGCTAAATCAATGACTTCAGGAATCAAATATGATGTAACAGAATTGCACTGCTAGCAAACGGAGCATATGCTATATTAAAATGCTCTTATTGGGCATTTTTGCTAGCTTATCACTGTGTTTATGGAATTCATTCTCACTGAATTCCTGATTAAAGTGGGACAGATGGTGAAGGTTTTAAGTAATGTGTTCATTACCAGACCTCATACCACTAATGGCTATTTACTGGAGCGGTGGATTGTTCAAGTGGGTAGCAAGAAAATTCTTCTCCAGGGGGTACGCACCACCAGGGCAATGTTTATCAATCTTTGTGAGGATGTTCATTTTTAATTTTTACTTTCTTTTTGAACTTGTCTTTTTCCTATTAATACAAAACGGCCAGTACACCCTCCCTTATTCTGATTCCCACTCCCCGCCTGAGACACCCTTCCTCACAGCCTGTCTTCTCCGTCTCTCCTTAAACCAAGATGTTGACAAGCTTTGCTTATTACAGTTTTATTTATTTGCTTGTTTCACAAATATAAAATATTCTTAAACCAATTTGGTTTTATTTTTGTTTTATTTTTTTGAGACAGAGTCCTGCTCTATCACTCAGGCTGGAGTGCAGTGGGGTGATCTCGGCTGGCTGCAACCTCCCAGGTTCAAGTGATTCTCATGCCTCTGCCTCCAGAGCGCCTGGGACTACAGGCACATGCCACCATGACCAGTTAATTTTTGCATTTTTTAGGAGAGACAGGCTTTCACCATGTTAGCCAGGTTGGTCTTGAACTACTGGCCTCAAGTGATCCTCCTGTCTCAGCCTCCCAAAATGCTGGAATTATAGGCGTGAGCCACCATGCCTGGCCTAAACCATTTTTTTTTTTAAGGATAAGACTCCTGCACATTTCCCCTCCACATTATTCCCACTTATCTCCACCCGCCAGAGATTCCAGTAGGCTGTATTCTAGGAAGTCACTGAATTACTGTGGAAGGTTGCTGCATGACCTTGCCAAGCCATGGGTATCCTGTCTACTTCCTCTGTCCAAGATCTCCTGGAGACAGCCCACTGTTGTGAGTTATTATCAGGGAGGGGTGAGGCCATCACTTCCCAAGAAAGTCCTGCAGGATCTGAGCCACTGAAACTTACTCTGGAGTGCGCTCCTCTGCCTTCGACTGGCATTTCACCCTCCCTAAAAGACTCATAGAATTAAGAAAGGGAGATCTGGGAAGTTCTTTGAACCTCACACAATACAGATATACTACATTGTCATCTCCACAAAAAGACTGTCTGGTTCATTCACAAATGTATATCCGGCCCATAGTTCTATGCTGTGGATGGTGGTTTTCAAATATTTGTTTAATGAACAGTGAAGTAAATATACCCCAGAACTCTGAGATGAACTTTCATCTAGTACACATTTCCTGGGGTCACTAGGAAATAGAAATTATCTTCCACTGTTTTTTTGTTAATTGGGAAGCAGTAACAGTGGCTATACTAGTTATACTAGTCTATACTAGACTATACTCTAGTCAATACTTAAATGTTAAGCTGGTTAATCAAGTTGTTTGGTGAAGCAATTATATTTGTTTCCCAGAATTGTCTTTCTTTCCTTGATGCAAACGTTCTTTGTGCTATCTTAGTTTTGTTAAGCTATTTTTTATAGGATCAAGTATTTTGACACTACCAAGTACTCAACCAGATATTACAGTTTTTCCAAAACAGCATAATTATAAACTGTCATGCCTGGATAAACTAATTGCTTAAGGACATTCTAGCCCACTGATTCTGATAAAGTATAAAACTCTGTGACCCACCACATAAACATGCAGCTGAATATTATTATCTTAGAACCACTTGAGAAAAGAGCATATTTAATTTTTGTGATTTCCTCATAGGACATCACAAAGACTATAAATTCAACCAAATCATAATGTTGTAACACTTTAAATTCTTGGGAAATATTTTTAAACAAATCAAAGTTCCTTTGGTAAGAAACCTGAATATTGAAATGTGATGTTTTTGAAATGACATTTATAAAATGGCATAAACCCGGGCAGAATAATAAAACAAATCTAAAAAGAACAGAGGCAAATACAATAAATATTAAAAAAAAGTATTGGCAATATTTACTAGAAGCCAAAACCTACATTCTTCTCTAACCCCAATTCCATTTTAGAGATGCCAGTTTTCTCTTTGTTTTGCTATTTAAAAAAATATTCCTTGATTTGTCCAAATTCTAAATTCTAAGGCATGCATACACAAATTTATGCATTTACCTTTTATATATATTTGGAGCGCTAGCTACTTAAATGAACATTGTATGAAACATTTTATAATTTTTGATCTATTATTACTCTTCTCTAAATATGCCTTCTTAAAGTTCCAATTTCCATAGAACGGATTATCTTAATGTTAACCAAACTTCTCCTAGTACAGCCATAGGTTTTTACAAACACAAAGTGGACTTGGGTGGCCAAAAATGAATACTGCACATTAAAATGCTGTGATTACAAGGACCTGCCCTATTATTGCTCCTAGGAGATGGACTTTGTGATCTTTTCCATTATTTGCACCACAGCCTCACCTGAGTCCCCTTTCTATGTCATGTATTTCCTAGAAAGAGAATGTGACAATGATGATATGACTACAGTATTTGCAGAAAGGTAAATCAATCACTACAGTATAGATCATATGAAATGTTTAAGGGAAAAAAATATTAAATACTTCCTAAGGCCAAGAATTGTAAAGAACACTTTCACTTAATATTATCTTATTTAATTTAATGTCCTATTTATTTTTGTGTTATTTTATTTCTTTTTCATCTTAACCATGTCGGTAAGAAAATCCCCTAATTCTCCAGGGGCGTACCTTTTCCATTCTCTGTACAAGGCTCTCCAATTCCGTAATTTGACTGTGTTTTTCTTCAAGTTTTTCAGCAACTTGATTGAGATTTTCAACATGTTGTTTCAATTTCTGTTCTTTTTCAACCTTGTTAACCTATGGTCAGAGAAACAGTTGTGTTGTGAAAACTCAGTTTTTATTAAACCTATACACATATTACCTCTTCCTATAATTTTCTAATTAGCCAAAAAATTCTGAATTAATACTTATTTAGAATTACTCTTTTGATATCAACGTTTCCTTCAAAATAACCCTGATACAACAACATTAAATCGAGAATTAATAGTGTATAAGTATTCTTCCTAGAATATTTACATATGTTACCATAAAGCATACTTCCTAAACTGGCATAAGAAAGAAAGATACTAATTTAAGAAAAGCAAATTTTTTTTTATTATACTTTAAGTTCTGGGGTACATGTACAGAAGGTGCAGGTGACACATTTATACATATGCTATGGTGGTTTGCTGTACCCATCAACCAGTCATCTACATTGGGTATTTCCCCTAATGTCACCCAGAACAAAAAAAATCTTACATGTTCAATGAAAACATGTTTTATTTTTAATCAGTAAGTGTCATGAAAGCAGAACAAGTCTCATCACTGTATCATGGTGCTACTTCATAGGCATAGAGGACGGGTAGGACTGACGATCATAGAAGTCTCCGTCTAGCAGGCAACAGGCCACAGTGGGACTGTGTCAACTCACTTCTTACTCTTCTGCATGTATATTTAACAAAGCTTGACATTTCACAGGGAAAAGTAAGTGTCTGGCTTCCCTTGTAAATACCAAGTGGGCCTTCCTGTCAGGTCACTCTAGGCTGCGGCTGAGCCCACGTTACAGGGATGCATGCGTCCCGTCCCCACAAGTGCCACCATCACATAGCGCCCCTCATCCACTTCCCACCTATGTTCTTCATCTGCACCCTGCATGCAAGTGAGTTTGCAACTATCACTGTCACAGCCTGAAGCATGAAAGGGTGTCACTTAGGCAGTGAATTTCCTACTGTACTCCCTGGAGACCTTCCTATAGCCTGAGCTGATGGACACCTGGGTGCCCCAAACTGTTATGAATGAACTGTCCGATTAGCTGTTTTATATTATTAATGTTGGCAAACACACACACACACATACACACACACACACACAGGCGCACACACATTTTTGACTCCTCCAGTTCTAGAATATATTTTTCAGTCAGATTTTATTGGTCCTAGTATATATACTTCAGATTTAAAAGCAAATGAACAGAAAAGAATATGCATGAGGGTATGTACATGTTTTTTATTTTTAACATTTATATACATTTACATATTAAAATATAAAACTAGATAACCTTATATATTTTTAACTATATATGCATACATATATTTTTTTTTAATCTGAAGTATGTATCCTAAGACCAAAACAAGCTTGAAACTATGTGTCTTTCACTCTAGAGATAGAGACATCCAAGTCCAGAAAGAATGGCTCAGTCTGGGTCATCTAGCGAGTCAACAACAGAGCCTGAAACAAATTACCAGCCAGGCTCCACAGGGCCAGCCCAGATTTCCAGGCAGGGTAGTGCTGCCTCCCTCCCACCTGTGTTCTTTGGGGCTCTGGGTAAGAACTGAGACACAGCAGCTCAGCAACATCTGGGGTGTTGGGCTACATAGTGTGAGGGAAATCGGCAAAAAAGACTAGCCCACCACTCCTTCTCTAAGTCTTCTGCCAAGTCACTCGGCCATTGCTTGTTTCATTTCTAATTCTTCCAGAAAAATGAACTTGAACAGCTCGGGGTGGGGGCTAGTTCTCCAATAGACAAGCTGCGTGTTCGGTACCTGGAGTAAGTGTTTACTGTCCTCATGCTTTTTTCTCACTTCTTCAGATTTTGTTTGGTAGTTTTCAAATAATCTCCGGGCCACGTCTCGCAGAGCTGCTGCTCCAGCTTCTCTGGAGGCTTCCAGCTAGAAAAAAGGTCACTATGCATGTTCTGACATTTACAACAAAAAGCATTAAAGGCAGAACAGTTTGGTGGGCAATTAAGAACACCGAGGCTGTAACTATGTATGTACAGCCTCATAGAAAATGGATAGGAGAGAAGACACTGTTACCTGGTAAGAGGAAAATGGACAATGAGAAACTCCTTATTTAGAGGGGCTGTTGTGAAGTGGGAAATTAGGGACTTGGAAAGACCGATGGGGAAGCCAGAGGATTTTATTTAATGTGATTACAGGCTCAGTGGAATTGCTTCCTACGCCAGAGAAAGGTACAAAAAAACTGAGGGCCTTTTAAGAACCTTTGTGATATAAGATGATGAAGCAGGAAGTGATTTTACAGATCTAAGAACAAAGAGCAGTTAATAATCCTGTGACATGTCTTGTGACGTGCTTTACATTTGAAAAATGACATTTTAAGAAACACGTTTTACATTCTTTAGGTTTTATTTGCCCTGTGACCTTGCAGGTGGTCAGCAAGAAAAATAGGAACTTCTGGATGCCTGGGAACTTTGCTAAGAATGTGGGGAGGATAGATAAGGTTGAATGGTTTACAGGGAGTTAGTTAATTTTAAGCAGAGCAGGGGAGGGAGGAAGTTTCATCTTAAACACAACACAGTAAATTTTGCCTTATTGTATAGCAATTGTAAATTATTAATTTCCCTCTTCAATTGAACAGGCAGATTTGCCATGGTCAAACCAAAGCAGAGCTCATGCCACAGCAATGCCCTGCAAATAGACTCCTCACCGTTCAAATAACTCTATGGTGCTCTGTCAGCTTATACACTTATTTGCAAGCCTTTTATCATTAATGTCCATAACAGTATTGAAAAGTGTATCTTCCTGAAATAGAAGTGGGACAAGTTTAAAGTATTGAGGGCAATAATGCTAAAATGTCATGAATATTTCCAGGATTTAATCTAAGGAAAAAATCAAGGATGACTATAAAGATTTCCCTACCAAGATATTCATTGCAGGACTGCATATACAAGAAGCCTTTAAAGGGGACAATCAAAAGCATTCAGCAATAGACAAATTTAAAGAATATTGTGACATTTTACTATGAAGGCTATAGTTAATATTTATTAAATATGAACACACTTTTAAAAATGTATTGTGAATTGTGAAAAGAACACTTAACATAAGATCTACTAAGTACAGTACAGTATTGTTAACTATAAGCATAATCTTATGCAGTAGATCTCTAGAACTTATTCGTCTTGCTTGACTGAAATTGTATAACTTGAACTTTTGTAAGATATTTTCAATAACAAAAGAAGCCTCAACAATAAAACAGTGAGAAATGATTTGTGAAATATAAAAATTTTTCTCTATGGAAGGGAGCATACAGGTGAACCTATGGATATCTATGGCCATCTCTCTGCTTTTACAGAACCATGAACACTAACAACCCACTCTATTAGCCCAAAGGCTCAAAACACAAAATTTGTAACTTCTAGCAGTCATACCTTGATTTTCAATACTTCATTCTCTTTGTTCATTTCTAAGAGCTGTAGGTCTTTTCCTTTGATCTTTTTCATAAGCAAATCCAAACTGCAACAAGAAGGATCCATTTCAGAATGAGAGCTCTGTTGAAGGTTTCCACAGCACTGAAATGGACAAACATGAAAATTATAGACCTGACTGTTTTTTCCTCTACAAACTTTGACAGCAATAATGATCATTTAGTGTTACATATATCAAAGAGGCTTCAGGTCAGCATAAATAACCATCTTTTGAATCTCAAATATCAATGGGAAATTCTAGATGAAACATCTGACTTCTATATTAGCTCAAATTTGAACAGATTCTTATATTGAAAGAGGTAAAATGACATTTTAACTTTTATATTTTCTATAGTTTCAGATACACTGATAAGTGCTTTTGAGGAGATAAATAATATCCACAAGACCAGACAGTTTTAAAAAATCTAAGTTGTGGACATAATTTCATTTTGGTTACATTGTATTATAGACTAATACAGTCAGACCTAATAGTTACAATACATAATAGTCAATGTTTGGTCATGTTTCATTGCAATTACCTCGTATTAAATTTCCAATCAGAGATATCAGAACTGAATGGCACCTTCTATTATAACTTGATGTAAGCTCTAGCTTACTGAAAATATACCTGGAGCATAAATCTCATCTGGAATTGTGCACACACTGAAGTGGAAAAGAAATTAGAAACCATCTAACTTAACCTGTCCATTTTACAGATGTAGAAACTGAGGACCAGGGTCCAAGTTTATGCAGCAAATGAGCAAGAGAGCTCATGGCACAGCCTCTTAAATAGTTACCATGTGCTCATTCTTTCAATTTATTTCAAAACTGAGAAACTGTTAAACGATTACACATACCCTACAATTATAATAACAACTTCTATTTGTTAAACACCTGTTATGTGCCAGCTCATCTTTTAGATATTTTACGTACAGTCTTTTGTCCAAATACTCAAAACACTGGAAGGCACTACGCCCTTTCCACAGGTGAGAAATTTGAAGATGAGAATTTAACTAACACACCTAAGATTATACCTAAAGCAACTGACAGACCAGAATTAGAATCCCAGTTTGTTTAATAACAAAATATATGTTCTTTTCACTACAGTATAACTACATTTGTAGAAATAAAAAACAAAAAGAACATAGTGCATGTGGATAGCATCCTCCGCACCATCACTCTGCCACAGTTCTGTTTTTTATAGTTCAGGTCCTAGTGCATATTCCTGCTCTCCATATACAGAATAGGAATTATTTTCTTTTTTAATTTGTTAAAGAATATTTGAGAGAAAATCTCTTGTAGAAGAAGGTAGATTATCAGCAGTGGTAGACGGCTAACAAAGATCATTGATCAGTGCTTTTCAAACTTCAATGTGCCTGTGAATTACTGGGTGATAGATCTGGTTAAAAAGGCAGATTCTGGCCAGTCATGGTGGGGTGGCTCACGCCTGTCATCCCAGCACTTTGGGAGGCTGAGATGGGTGGATCACAAGGCCAGGAGTCCAAGAGCAGCCTGGCCAACATGGTGAAATCCCATCTCTACTAAAAATACAAAAATTAGCCAGGAGTGGTGATATGCATCTGTAGTATCAGCTACTCCGGAGGCTGAGGCAGGAGAATCATTTGAACCCAGGAGGCTGAGGTTGCAATGAACCAAGATCATGCCACTGCACTCTAGCCTGGGTGACAGAGCAAGACTCTGTCTCAAAAAACAAAACAAAACAAAACAAAACAAAACAAACAAACAAACAAACAAACAAAAAACCAGATTCTGAATCAGTGGTCCTGGGGTAGAGCTTATATGCTGCATTTCTAACAAGTTTCTGGTGATGCTGAGCTGCTGGGACTGCAGAGCATCCTTGAGAGCAGCAAGGCCCTAGGTCACTCTGGTAAAATCCCTGCAGGGCCAGAGGGCTGAAGCTTTGATGTGTGGTTGATCTGCTGACCTTCCGTGGTTTGAGACGGCTGAGACAGACACATGGTAACACACTGTCGTCACCATTCCCATGAAGCTACTCCTATCAAGCCAACAATATGCTCCACATTGTTACATCCACTGGTTGGCATTCGGTCCTCAATTTTCTTGGCCCATGGACAGCATTTGACAGAGGGGTCCCGCCCGGCTTCTGAAACCCTGTCCTCATTTGCCTTCAGTGACTCCTGCTGAAGTAACCTTGACAGGAGTAGCTCCAAACCATGAAAGGTCAGCAGATCAACCACACTTCAAATCATCAGCCCTCTGGCCCTGCAGAGATTTCACCATAATAATCTAGGGCCTTGCTACCCTCAAGTGTTAGTCTACAGTCCCAGAAGCTCAGCATCAGCAGAAGCTTGTTAGAAATGCAGCACCTGGGCTGTACCCTAGAACCCTAAAATCTCCTTCTTTTCCTCCTAATCCACCAGCCTCATCTTAGCTTATGAAACCCTTTCCTCATTTGCCTTGCAGTGGACAACACTGGTGAAGTACACTTGGCACATATGAGGTTTAGCCTGGTGTAATCCAGACAATGCTAAGTGCAGGCTGCTCGACCTTACATATATAAAGCTGATGTTGTGGAAGGGAGCACATTCAAGCTTATCAACTATCTGGCAAAGACTTTACTCAACTCGGGCCTAAAAGCTTCAAGTGTGTGTGTCTATTCGTGTGGCCCAGGTGAGCCTAAAAGCTCCACCTGTCATTGGAAAATGTCGCTGTCATCGATCTTGGCTGGGCTGACATCTAATTTACTTTAGATAAGTAAGCTTTGTTTAATATATTCAAGTAAGGCTTAGCCATTCCAATTTGATCTTACTCATAACATTCGTAGTTAAACATTTCACACATATGATCATTAACATCTTTAGATATGCATGAAATACTTCAACACTCATCCTTTGAAGCATCAAAGAACTTAGTAATTGCCCAAAAAGTTACTTTAAGAAGTCCAACTGGCTTTATACTAATCTTCAGAAGGAAATTATTACCTTTGTGTCTAGACTATGCTTTGTACTATTATGTCTTACTTCATCTTTAAACATTTGGGTTCTGATCTTTTCCAGAGTAGTTCGAATCTACAGAAGGAAAAAAGAAAAAAAAAAAAACATTTTATTTGTTTCAAAGGTATTTAATGCCGAAGGCTTTTTTCTCAATACCACTTACAGGGTACCTGATTATCTAGAAAGTAATACACATAACACATATATTGATCTCAGATTTAAATAACTGCCACTATCAACCTAACTTGCATTTAGACTAATATTGTTTAGATTGCTTAAAGTAAGCATTTGGTCTTTAGAACTCTTTCTCAGACAAGTCTAAAACATGATCACTTAAGTGAATATTATCTCTAAAACAATTATTACTTAGTAATTAGTACCTAATACTATTTAGTTCTGGTCTTGTCTTTTTAGTAATTTAGTACTAATTTACTGTTTAGTAATTACTATGAAACAATTACTGCTTAGTAGTCACTACAAAATAATTACTATCTACTAATCACTACAAAATAATTACTACCTAGTAATTACTACAAAATAATTACTATTAAGTAATTACTACAGAATAATTACTGAGAGATCATATCATATACATTTATACATGAAATATAAGCCCCATGTCTTGATGACCCATGGAATTGCAAGAGACTCGAAAATGATGGAATTAATTGATCTGAACACATTATGAACTATGCCAGAATTTGTCCATTATTTAGTTAAAAAATTAAATAATCCAAAACGGTAAAATGTGAAATTTCTCTTTTTATTCAGCATCCTTTTAGACTATAAGACTATAAGAGTAGGAGCCAGGTTTATACTCTGGCACATTTTTTTTTTTTTTGAGGAGTCTTTCTCTGTTAGTCAGGCTGGAATGCAATGACTTGATCTCAGCTCACTGCAACCTCCACTTCCCGGATTCAAGTGATTCTCCTACCTCAGCCTCCTGAGTAGCTGGGATTACAGCTGGCCACCAGCATGTATGGCTATTTTTTTGTATTTTTAGAAGAGACTGGGTTTCACCATGTTGGCCAGGCTGGTCTCGAACTCCTGACCTCAGATGATCTGCCCGTCTCAGTTACCCAAAGTGCTGGGATTACAGGTGTGAGCCACTGTGCCCAGCCTACTCTAGCACATTTTAAGTGCCTAATAAATGCCTTTCTAAGAAACAGTTAAGAATATATACTTCTGTCAGCCATGATCATCTTGGATTCTCATAAGACTTCACATGTTTAATGAAGTGACATGCCAACCCACAGCCACTGGCAATAGTTACCATGAACTGTGAAAAGGAACAAGGTAAGGAAAGGCACCAACTCAGCAGGAAATACAAACATCTACTTGGGAACATGATCGACACTCATGAAACCACTGGAAAACATTATAAAACAGTAGGAAATCCAGTGGTGAATAGTGTGGGACAAATTAAGTGCTGTTAGGTGTTCTGAACCCTCCTGGCCCATCATTCAGTTTTACTGAGTGAGGAAAATCATTTTACTCCAAGTGTAGGAACAGTTTCGCATCCTCAAGAGAAATGACTAAACATGGGTTTAAATTTCAGCTAGGAAGATTGTCCTTTGCCAAATTAGAATTGTTCCTTTACATGTGTTCCGTTACATATATGGAGAGGGAAATAAAGTCCTCCAGCCCATATGGGATTCATCTTTAAAAAATCATATCATACTAACGATTTCTGCTACTCACATACCTTTTTCACATACTCGGTTTCTTCAATAATGTGAGCAGATGTAGACTCATACAAGGCAGAATTATCTTCCATTTTATCCCTTGGAGGAATTTCTGTGGTCACGGTCACTGTTGTCATTGTGAATTCTGGTTTTAGAAAAACATAAATCAGCTAAGCAAAACAGACTGTTTTGATTGCATGATTATGTGGTTCATAAACTGAAATAAGTTGTTTTATCACTATAGTCAAATACAGCAGAAAAGCTATAATTCATTGGTATCTGTATACATACATAAATCCAGGAATTAATTTAATATGAAGCAATATCATCTGAAGGAATCATTAATTTAAAAAATTAACATTTAAATAATCTAAGAAGGTAAAATCTGAAATTTTTCTTTTTATTCAGTATCATCTCAGACTGTAAAATCTCAGGAGTAGGAATGAGGTTTATATTATAACACATTGAAAGAATGTAATAAATGTGGAATTAATATAATATAATTATAACTGAATTATGTCTTGTGTGTGTGTACCTTCATACATAGTCTGTAAAGGCTATTTACTATTAGGAGAACTAACAGTAAAAGACTGGAAAAATCCCATGCCAACAAAAAGAAGATAGATTAAATAAACTATCAATGGCTATGGAGTCATCACTAGGATGTATTATTATTTCATGAAAAAGCATAGAGTAGAAAAGAATATGTAATATATTTTCTATAAAAAGGGCAGGAAATATGAATGGAAGGAAGAAAGCTGTGTCTTAATATTTTCATACTAAACCATGTATATATTTTATCTAACTATAAAGTAAAATTGACAGAAAAAGTAATCATCCAAAATAAAGATGAAATGAAATAAATAAATACATCCATATATCAAGTTCTGTAACCACAAGAACTTTTTCATGTGATTAAAAATGATCTACTAGGGACTATTTATCCCTAGTGTGCTATATTCTAAAACAAAAAGAATAGCAAAACAATCTTAAACTATATTCACTCATAATATTGTTAGTGGAAATACTGGTATTTGCTCTTTTGAACTGTGAACTCTGTGTGTGTGTGTGTGTGTGTGTGTGTGTGTGTGTGTGTGTGTGTGTATGCAGGTTCACACTATAAAATAAAGCCATCAGGTAACTGTGTTAACATCATGAAGAATCAAGCTATTTAGCATAAAAGAAAAAATGAAATACAGAACACAAATGTTAGGTAAAGCTGAAAGTCAAGGATGGTGGCTCACATCTGTAATCCCAGCACTTTGGGAGGCCAAGGCGGACCCATCACTTGAGGTCAGGAGTTTGAGACCAGCCTGACTGACATGGTGAAATCTCGTCTCTACTAAAAATACAAAAATTAGCTGGGCATGGTGGTGCACATCTGTAATCCCAGCTACTTAGGAGGCTGAGGCATGAGGATCACTTGAACCCAGGAGATAGAAAACAATGATTTATTTTTCTTTTATATATATATATATATATATACACATATTATGTAGAGGTAGAATGTATAATATATATTTTTATACCTCTATTCACTGAGAAACTTAGAAATAGTAGCAATTAGCATCCCTAGTGGCCAGACTGTGGTCTTTGAATATCATATCCTACTAAAAAGTCTCGGGTAAGAAATATATAAAGTGAGCCTGAGAGATATGGTCATGCCAGCAAGCAAACAAAGTAATCAAATACTATTTGAATAAGACACAAAACCCATCCTAAAAAAGAATGTTATGGATTGAAACTTATCAAAAATGTTAAATCCCTGAACTGATGATGGCTGAAGAAAAAACCCACAACAACACAGTACTCACTCTCCACCTTCAGAAGAACATAAGGAACAGCTCAATGCACATGGACTAAAAGTATACTACCCCCAGAACCTAAAGTAAAATTAAAAAAAATAAAAAAATAAAATTGGCAAAAAAAGAAACATTTAATATATGAACTATATTTCATAGTAGCCAAGTAGTTGATGAGGGAAAGTTTTTTTATGGAATTCCAGCTAATAAATTCAAAAGGATTGATAAAATTGAAAAACCTGTATTTTACAACACCTTATGAAGTAAAAAACCTAAACATCATCACCTAAAGCTAAAAACATTAGTGAATATTTAACAAGGAAACTTAACTTGAGAGACCCCATTAATCAATCTTAACATAAATTATGGATCTTAAAAGATATAGGACCAAATGCAATATATGAATCTTGTTTAGATTTTGATTAAAAAAAAACAACTATGTAAAGACATTTTTGAGACTAACTGGATAATATATGATGTAAAAGAACTGTTGTAATTTTGTTAGCTGTGATAATTATGACATTCCTTAAAAGGATTGTATCTATTAGTGACACCTACTGACATATTTGCAGGTGAAATGGCATTACATTTGGAACTGCTTTAAAACTCAGAGTGAGATAAAAAGGAGAAGGGGATAAAGATTAAGGAAGTTTATCAAAATATAAATAACTATTGAAACTGGGTGATGAGTCTGTAGGGTTCATTATATTCCTTTATGTATTTTGTGTTTGTTTGAAATTTCTATAATAAATAGTAAATAACTAATAAGTAATAAAAAGCCCTGTGGGATAGGATTATTAATACCATGTTACTGATAAGAAGCCAAAACTACACTCCCATGGTGACATGAACTTACCGAAGATTAAGTAAAATTCATAGAGCTAAAACTCAAACATTGGTCTTTTAGAAGTTCAGAGATGTTTCCATCGTATTAAGAGTGGCTTCCCTGTAGAGAAATAATAACAAAATATTTAAAATCTAACAATGACCTAGGCTGCAAAAAACACAAAGAATTTGCATATTTGAGGGTATCACTTGGAAACAAGATAGCTTCTGGGAATACTACAAAGTCCTGTATTTATCCTTTAATCTTCAATGAAATTGACAGAGTATGTCAAGAATTTTCCATTTCATTATAAATCCTCTTAGCAGCTATGGCTTCTATTAAATATTTGTTTTGACTGAAGTTGATTTGGCAGCAGAGCTCTGCAAGTGGGCTTTTGCAAAATGTGAGTAGAAGTACGTCTCTTACTGGGTCCTCTGAAGTCTTTTCCGGGATTAAGATCTTGGTACAAAACAATATTTAAATGCTTGAAGTAAGAGGAGACACCCACAGGGACAATACGCAGTGTGCTTGAAAACCAGAGGGAGGATGGTCAGGCCAGGGTAGGAGTCAGCAAACCCCAGACTGGGAGCTCAAGATTTCCCTCCTGTTTGTACAGCCCCGGAGCTAAGAATGGTTCTTACGTTTTTGAATGGTTCAATAAAAAAATCAAAAGAAGAATAAGATTATTTTATTATGGGAAAAGGTATTTGGGAAACTTGTCACTTGCTTGTCCCATCATGTGTACTGGCTCCTCCGTGCTGTCTGCCTGTTTTGTGACACTCTTCTTACAGTTCTTGAGATGCAGCAGAACATCAGGATGGGAACCGATGGTGGGTGGGGCTGCAGAGTGCCCATTGGTGCCCTGTTTCTCAACTACCTCATGTCATTGCAGATGCTAGTGTGTTGCCTGTCGCTTTCCCTTGGATGCCTAGACTGTCATAAAGTGTGCCCCCTGGACTTACTGAGCATGGAGAGAGGATTTTAGCTAGGATTTGAACACTTAGTGCTGGGAACCTAAGGGTGTGGCTTGTCATTAAGCTATAAAACCAGAGACAAAATATCTACACTGCCCTGAGTTGGGGGGATTCTTAGTGCCAACTGTGGCTGGTCCTCATCATCCAAAAGAGAGGGTCAGTTTGGTGTCACATGAAACACCAAGATGTCTGTCTCTGGTGTGTTGTTAAAATCCCCATGCCTCTGGCTGTGCTTGCTATTTCTGGGGCTGGGAAACACTCCTTGCATCAAGGGGTCACTTGAAAAGAACAAAGAATCTTTTGGGGAGGCTTCCTCTAAAACTCTCTCACAGACAGACAGCTTGGACTAGAGGGTACGTTTTTCTTCCAGGATGGTGTTATCGCAGTGGAAAGGGCAGTATGAAGTCATTTTCTTAATGTGAGCTAACGATAGGCACAGCTGTGTGCCACTGTATTCTTGCTGGACTCAACGTGTATTTGTAACTTAAGAAATAAATAATGCAGAACAAGAAAAAAAAAAGAATGACATTTCATGGCACATGAAAATTATATGAATTTCAAATTTAGTATTCATAAAAATGGTTGGAAAAAATAAAAGGACAATATTTCAAGACACATGAAAATTATGTGAAGTTCAAATGTAGTGCCCATAAATGAAGTTTTACCCTAGCACCACATGCCCATTCATGTATCATATCGTTCATGCTGCTTTGGCACCACAAACAGCAGAGTCCAGTAGTTATGACAGAGAAAGCATGTGGCAAGCAATGCCTACTGTATTTCCTCTCTGGCCCTTTAGAGGATATGTTTGCTGACCTCTGGGTTAGGGCTTAGCAAGGAGTCGGGGAAGGACCAGGGGGAAAACAGCGGCAAGCAAAGCAATCAGTCTGGCCTGAGTTAGCTTTTTCCCTCCTTGATCTACAGTCCTATTCTATTGATTTACTTTCATTTCCCTTTTAGTATATTAAGCAATGTGTACACTAACAAATGATAAGAGGCATTTTATCATAGGAATGAATGGCCAATTTAAAAATTGCATCAAGGATTACATCTTTTATCTTAAAATATACTCTCTTATGTATCTTTGGTTCTTAAAATCAAGGAATTTTGCTTCTTGATCACTGATATTTCTGAAATCATCCACCTATTCCACTCACTTGTTGGGCCATCTGAAACAAGTTACATAAAACTTTAGTCTTCACTTACATAGCTGTCAGATAGGGGTGATAACACCTAGAGATATGAAAATGAGTTGGTTTTTTTTTAAATGCCTGCTCTCAGAAGGCACTCAATGGGCAGTCACTGTCCATAGTGTTGCCCTGTTATTTTATATTATCAATAGCCACAGAAGACAAGTAGGGCAGGTAGTTCTCATCTATCTGGTTACAAAGCTTTATAACTCTATCCATATGAAGTTAAATTCCATGTCTCTTTTTGGTTCAGGAAACTTTTGTACCCACAGTCCCTGATTTGTATGAAGAAACCCAAGGGGAACATAAGCCAACAAAGTCCAAATTGCCATATGGCATTACTATCCTGGAGAAAATCCATGTTAGCATTTTATTTCAGCCAGAAGTAGATTAAGGAGATGAAATTTTCAAAATAAATCACAATCAGTTAATTAAAGTAAGGAAAGACTTTTGTTTGTTTTATGCTAGAATGGACTGAAGACAGCTTACAAGTGGCATCATGCCAAGAGGAGGTATTTCCTAGACAAGGGCCTTGCAAACAGGGCTCCCAGGGAGGCGGCGGAGGACTGCTGAATAGACAGGGCTCTGTCACCTCAACTTCAACCACAGCAGCTTTGCTTTGTTCTGTCACTCACACTGAATTTTTGCATGAGATTTTCTGTGAAGAAAGAAGGTTCCACAGCTGAAACGGTTTAGAGGCAGCCTGCCTAGTCTCATGGCCTCCTTCAGCCACTCCATACCTGTGTGACCTCTGCCAAGTCCCTCTCTGTGTCTCAGTTTCCTTAATGGTAAAAATGAAAATAATATTATTAACAATAGTCAATGTGGGGTTGTTCATTAGTTAATATTTGTCAAGCACTTATAACAGCACATATAATATATAATAAATGATTTGTACATATTTGTCAAATGAGTACATAAAATATGAAACCATTATTCACAATTAAGCTGACAAGCAATCTGAGTAGTTTTCTTTCTCGCAGGAAAGAAACAGGTTATATTTTAAATAACCTGCGGACTGAACTGGCCTATGAAGGAAAAATTGCTTTGGGGGACTTTAAGACTAGCAAATCCATGGTACAAATTCCTTATTGCTAATGCCCCAATAATTTGTCAGTTTCCTCTATCAATGATGCTAACATCTAATGAAGAGTTTACAATCTACAAAACAATGCACACACATTATTGTGAATTGTAATCCAAGTGATAACCCACCACACCACTGGTCACCCAAGAGAATCTAACTATACCTCGTGCTCTAGTTAATGACATGAAAATAGCAGAAGTATTATAAAACAAACATACACAAGCGCCTGTTACAGGTTGAATTGTGTCCTCCCTCTAATTTTATGTTAAAGTCTTAACCCCTAGTTTCTCAGAATGGGGCCTTATTTGGAAATAGGGCTTTACAGATGTAATTAGATAAGTAAACATGAGCTTATACTGCAGTAGGGTGGATCCCTACTCCAATATGACTAATGTGCTTATCAGGAGAGATGTGGCAGAGATGAGAACACCAAATCCCATGTGAAAATGAAGGCAGAGATCTACTGATGCTTGTACATGCCAAGGAAAACCAAAGATTACTAGCAAACCACCAAGCAGAGGAGAGGCAAGAAACATCTCTCTCTCACAGCGCCCAAGAGGAACTAACCATGTAGACACATCGATCTTGAACTTCTAGGCTTTAGAACTCAGAGATGATCCATTTCCATATTCAAGCCACGCCATGTGTTTTATTTTGTTAGAGTACCCCTAGAAAAGGATTACAGACACTGTTGGTATTCCAGAGACTGTAACAAGGGTATTTCCTTTCTTTACTTAACCCTTGATTCATATATTGAGAGAGTAAATATTTATTGAAAGCCACTGTGTTAGGAGCTGTGGCTACAGGGCTGAGCCAAAGACCCTAATTTCATGGGATTTTCAGTACAGAGGGAGAGGCAGACATTAAACAACAAGTAAATACAAAGGAGGTCTAAAGAAGGTTGTGATGAGTGACGTGAAGAAAAGCAGATCAGGGGACCCAGGGTAAAAGGAGATGCTGTTCTATATGAGTGGTGAGGAAAGCTGATCTGAGGAAGCAGTATTTGAGCAAAAGATGAAGAAAGTAAGGTGCAAGCCATGTGGCTCTCTCGGATCTAGGAGAAGAGAGTTCCAGGTAAATGGGAAAGCAAGAGCAGAAACTGGCATGTGCCTAGAGTAGTGGGTTTTGTTTTGTTTTGCTTTTGAGACAGAGTCTCACTCTGTTGCCAAGGTTCGAATGCAGTGGCATAATCTCAGCTCACTGCAACCTCTGCGATTCAAGAGATTATTGTGCCTCAGCTTCCCAATTAGCTGGGATTACAGACGTGCACCACCATACTCAGCTAATTTTTTTGTATTTTTAGTAGAGACGGGGTTTCGCCATGTTGGCCAGGCTGGTCTCAAACTCCTGGCCTCAAGTGATCCACCCACCTTGGCCTCCCAAAGTGTTGGAATTACAGGTGTGAGCCACGATGCCCAGCCTCTAGAGCAGTGTTCTAAGAACACCACTGCACACAGCAAAGCCTACCATTTTCTTTTCTTTTAATGTTGCAAGATTTCTTTCTTTTTTTTTTTTTTTTTTTTTTTTTTTTTGAGACGTAGTTTCGCTCTTGTTACCCAGGCTGGAGTGCAATGGCACGATCCCAGCTCACCGCAACCTCCGCCTCCTGGGTTCAGGCAATTCTCCTGCCTCAGCCTCCTGAGTAGCTGGGATTACAGGCACGCACCACCATGCCCAGCTAATTTTTTTTTGTATTTTTAGTAGAGACGGGGTTTCACCATGTTGACCAGGATGGTCTCGATCTCTTGACCTTGTGATCCACCCACCTCGGCCTCCCAAAGTGCTGGGATTACAGGCTTGAGCCACCGCGCCCGGCCTCTTTCTTTTTTACCTAAGCTTTTTGAGACTTCCAGTTTGTCTAAGGAGTTG